GGTGGACAGTTGGCAGTCATCCCAATGCACTGTCCTCAACCCTGACCACACATGAGACTCACCTCAGGAGTTTGCTCATTTGTTAGTGTTCATTTACTTATTCACAGTGCCAACTCTGGCCCTATTTCTGGCCAAAGAAATCAGACAATTTTTAAAGAAATTTTCAGGTGATTTTAACATCCAGTCAAGGTTGAGAACCACTAGCCTAATACATAGGTAGAAGAATTTCTCTATAAATTCTTGGGTTTTGTTGGGAATGCTTTGCTGACATAAGTAAGATATTAGGTTTAACTAGGTATGGCCTAACGGATACAACAGAAATTTCTGATATATTGTGCAAGTTCCTTGCTTTTAAATAACTTCCTCATTTATCACTAGCCAGATGTTCATCTGCGTTAGGCACCACCTTCTTCCTGTAGATATTTCATATACATATATATATCATTGGTAATTATGGATATGTTCATATATGTGATATGATATACAGATCTACATGAAAAAAGATATATATGATATATACAGATATATAGAGAGATATATATTTGATACATATAGATATGATATAAAATTTTATATATATGTATACATATATATATAAAATCAGCAGATGTGAAAATTAGGGTTGACCAACCAAGATGCCAAGACATGTATCATTTATATTGACATAATGGGGTTTCACTTAAATTCTTAAAAATCAAATATTATTTAGTAAGAGGTAGAAGTAGGTCTACTGCTGGGGTGACCTAGCAAGGAGGTTCTGCTATTTTAGGAACCAGAATTTTTTATAAATACTATATCACAAGATGCAAGTCACAAAACATGCTAACCGTATGCCAGGGGATTTGAAGGTGGCAATGAAAGCAGAAAGTCCTATAACAAGGAATTATTTTTTTCTTCCAGCATACGGTGACCACAGCTGACTTGTACAATTATGAGAAGGGAAGCATCCTAAAAATCCTTAGTTGCCTTGTGGGGGATGAGGGCAGGAGCTGGGTAGCCACTTCCCATTGGGTGACCCTACTTTGAGTAAGGAAAAACCCAGATGGGGTATTGGCCTTGATAGGAAGGCGTTGGCTAGACAGAGCCTATGTCCACGGAAGTCAGTCAAGGGAGGGAGAAGCAGGCAGATATAACCAGCCCGTGGAGGTTAAACCCCAAATGGAGGGGCCAGGTAAGAGAACCCAAGGTCCCAAGCTGATTGACAGGGAGGCCAAGGGGTAGGGCCCTGCCCAAGAGCTTAGGGGATGAGAGATCCACTTGGCTAGGGGTCTCCTAAAGACTTTATGCCATCAGTCAGACAGATAATTACCTTTGAAGGGGCAGAATGAACCAGGAGCACACATGAAAATGCATAAGGACTTTTGATTCATCCAATACTAGATTTATTCATACAGCAAACTCATCCATTCAACAAAGATTTACTGAGCATCTACTATGTGCCAGGCCCTTTTCTATATGCTGAAGATTACAGGCAGGTAGGATATCTACACATCTGAAAGAGTGAATCAATACGCAGTATGGCATAAAATGTAGCAGTCTGTGGGTTTGGTAGGCCCAAAGCACTATACCTTTGGAACTCATGTTCTTCCGTATGTATGAAATATAATTAATTCTCTGATGAAGACTTTCCAACATCTTATGATTAATACACCAAAGCTTCAGGACCTGAGGTTGCCCTGGACGACTTCCAAAGCCCAGTTCTAGGACCTGGGATCCCAGGCAGGGCCAGGGCAGTACCAAACTGGGCTCAGGCCCTCGGGAGTGGTGTGAGATACTGCAGGAGTATCTTGAGCCATTTGCTGGGGTTGAGTGTCTCTCCAGGAGACATCCAAGGAACACCCCAGACTCACGTTGCTCTCCAGTCTCTACACAACATGGGGGTGTGTTTCTCCTTAGAGAGCCCTGGGAGACCAACCTGCAGAGGCCCATGGGGGTGGGAACCATCTGATGAACTTGTGATGTCAGGGTGGGATGCTGAGGTGATCCCCCAGAGTCCGAAAAGGAGCTATAACTCACAAGAAGGGAGGACTGTTCCCCCTCTTCCAGGAAGGCCACTTGGGATCCCAGCCAGACTTTTGGCTCTAGCTGAAATACCAGCTTAATGACAGAGCACAGAACCAAAACTCAGTTGTGGCCAAGTAACCGAAAGTGTCTTTAAGATAGAAGGAACGGGTTTGGATTAAAAAAGGGGGTGTCAGAAAGACATAGGCATGTGATTTCAGCACACTCCACTGCATCCCCCACTTCACCCCCTCGTTGTGCCAAACCTCATAGCCAGCCTTCCTGCCTCAGATAGCATCACTCCCTCCGAGGTACAAATACCATCCGGACTCTTCGTATTAGGCAATTTCTCAAACCCCAGCCCCCACCGTTGTACAAAAACCGCATTCCCTACAACAAGTGCTGTGAATTTCCTTGTTTCATTCCCAACCACTGGACACATTTCTGTATTTACCTTCCTCTTCCAGGGGGCTTTAGTGTGCCAAGCTTCCAATCAAGGAACAGTACCTACACTGAGTTTTTACCTCTCCCTTCCTCAGTTCCTCCAACGGCTTCCTTATAGAGTCAGGTTAAAGGTGCTAAGTCAAGGTGTCCAAAACTTAGAGTACAGCCGAAATTCACCCGATGACTCATCTGATTGTGACTCGTCCAATGTAAGGCCAACTTAATGGGCTCCAAGAGTCCTCAGCCCAAGGGCTTCTGCCCCCACATCTGGCATTGGGGAAAATGGAACCAACAGTCACGATTTCACCTGAGGACCACTGTCCAAAGAGCTTCCCATAGCCTCTGAACTGTGAAGGAATAAACAAGGTTGTTTTTTTTTTTTTTTGAGGATGAATGAGGGAATAAAGAAGATTTTTATAGGATTCAATGGATCTCTTGTTTCCTGGATTTAATTCAAACCTAAAATTTAGAAGCGAATTCAAATTTGAGTCTAACATAATCTCACTTCCCCTGACAAAGTAGAGGAGATAAAAATATGCAGTCCGGCCACTGTTAGCAAATCTAGGAAGCAGACGATGCTGGGTTGCTGCACCCAGTCACCTGCACAGGTGGCCCTGTTTTGGGGGGTACCCTCCATTGTGGTACACAACCAAACACCACCAGTGAAACTCAGCCACCTGTGGCCAGCAGAGGTCAAGCATATTTCAAGATGGCTATGAACTAGAGACACCGGAATTGCAATCGGAGATTCTTAGAGACCTAATACTCTAAATAAGCCAAGGAAGTGGGCCTCAAATACAATTTGGGGCATCTGAGGAGACATTTCAAGAAGGGTACTTATGTAACTACCCCCAGATTTGATTTTTCCTGTGATGCAATTCTAACTTGCAGATTTGTTTCCCTACTTAAGTCCCCGCACGACTATAGCATTGTTCTCTCCACGGCGTGTTAACCTAATAACCAAGGACATATAGAACGTGCCATTTGTATTCCAAATACTTGTGGGCAAAAGGCTCTGAAACCTACAACTTTCTATGGTGGATTAGACACACAGAGGTGGATGGAACCAGTTTCAGAAGGTTTCTGCAGCAAGATGAAGGAAATTTGTAGACAGGCTTGGGAACAACTGGCCAAACTGCCTGCCGCCTGTGACGATTTTATCATCTTTTAATTTAGCAACCTAGAAATGGGTTTATAACAGAAATTCTTTGTGTTGGCCTCTCAGCACGCAACCATAGCGGCTGGAACACACCTCACTGCCCCTCTGGAGTGCACTTGGTTATGTCCAAGTTCTGGCCTTTGAAAAACACTGTACTGGAGGGACGGAGACCTACACTGCCTTTTCTGCTGGGAGTGCTCAGAGGAGAATGAATTAACTTTGCCCAGCCAAGCCAGTAGTCCTGATCCCGAGCCAGAAAGCAGTGGCCGTTAGAAGTTAGAAAGCAAGCAAAAAGGAAAGCAACAGTGCTCCCATTATAATATTAAGCCACAATCACCTTTTCCTATAATCATCTTCCTGTTTTCCCAGAAGGGGCATTGGTTAACTGCCACTCTGGGGCAGAGGGCAGCCCAGCACTTCCTGTGGCTCTGGAAGGTGGAGCTCAGCAGGCTGTGGCATGTCCCCTGACCCCAGAGCAGGCTGAGAGCGGCCACCATGCTGGGGGTGGGGGCTCAGAGACTGAGGCTCCTGGATTAAAGGGTGATGTTGATTTCCTTTCCTTGGGGCCAGGACCAGGGTGAGGCAGGAGAGGTGTTTAGGGAACAAGATTTAAGGAGGTTTTCACTCTCAGGGTCATGCGAGTGGCTCTTTCTTCCCAGTCCCAGCCCTGCTCAGGGGCCCTAGCACTGGGGGATGTGTGTGTGAGTGTGTGTGTGAATATGCACTGTGGTCAGTGGTTCTCAAAGCATGGTCCCCAGACCAGCAGCAACACCTGGGAACTGGTTTGAAATGCGCATTCTCAGACCTCATCCCAGACCCACTGAATGTGAAACTCAGGCTGTGGGGCCCAGCAATCTATGTCTTTAACGCGCACACCAGGTAACTCCCAAGCGGCTTGAGTCCCGTGGTCCGTGGCAGGTGGTCTCTCAAAATGCTTCACCCACAGCGGGAGCAGGGAAAGGGTGGGCTGGCGAGATGACAGGCACCTTGCTAAGGCCATCAGCAGGGTAGGGATCCCTCAGATGATAAATCAGGAACTGCTTTACCCCCAGCTATCCCCAAGTAAACTGTAGTAGTCAAGACCTGGCAACTGTTGGCAATAAATAAAGATTGCTACTGAGCTCATCCCTGCCCATGGCTTCCCCTTAGCCAGGCAGCTCAGAGCCAGCTGCTGAGTGCCACTGTGTCAGGGGCCAGCCATTTGAACATTCTGAGACTTCGATGCCCTCCTTTGCAAATGGGGCTAACATAACCCACGTGTGAGGGGCGTGTGAGGGGCAGAGAAGGTAATGCATATGCAGCCCAATAGAGCCGGGCTTCTGGGCTCCACCCTCTTCCAGGGAGCCAGCTGGGATGCCTTGGGGACTGAGGACAGCTCAGAGGGGAAGGAGGTTAGCTGAGCTCCCTGATACTACAGCGTTTTTAAAAGGAGGCTATTCCCTAGCCCAAATGGCCTGGGGCACCAAGCTTCTAAAAACACGGAGTGGAAGAAAGGAAAGGAGAAGGGGCCCCCTGGGGCCTGCAATTAGGCACTGAGAACTGCTTGTTTTTTGTTTTTTGTTTTTTTTTTTTAACATATAATGAAGGGTAAGAAGAAACCTCTGAAGACCCACATTTAAACTGTCACCAGAGCCCCAACAGTATGTAGTGGTGAGACAGTGACCAACGCCCGCCCGCCCAGCAACCTCAGGCACAGTCATGGACTTGGTCTCCTTTTTGCCAAGTGCTGGCTGACAGACGGAATCGCAGTATGAGGATGAAGTCACACAACATAAACATGAGCGCTTAGCGCTCAGGTCTCTTGGCGGAATGAGGGAACCTTTTCTGCAGTGCGGGGAGAGAACGAGCTCCACTGCGACCTTCCCGGCTCCTAAAGGTGTCTACGGAGGACCAGAGGGGCTGAGGACACGCAGAGGGCACGCAACTGCGGGGTGACCATCATTAGCGGCGCCCCCTTTCTCCCTGCCGTTAGGATGTGCTGGGGCAGAGGCAGAAAATCTCAGAGCTTCGCTCCCCGCCCCGCCCCCAGCAGGCCAGGTAAACAAAGGACACCCCCGCCCCCACGTCTTCCTGGGCCCTGCGTGCAGCACAGCTGAGGGTTGGAAGGAGGATCCATGACTCACACTTTTCCTCCCGAGGGGATTTAACTCCAAGATAACATTGCCCTTGAGAAAAGGCCAACCAGCAAGGAGGAAAGTTCACCTCGGGGCCCCTGTGCTCTGGAGCCCCCTTACCTTCCTCGTTTAAAATCCAGGGCAGGAACGCGAACACCGAGTCAAAGCCACAGGTGTTTTCTTCAAACGCGCAGGACCCGGCGGGCAGGTCCAGGGCGCCCGCAAGCTGCAGGGCTGCGAGCACAAAACGAATTTCAGCTCGGACTAGGGCTGGGAGCGTCTGCACCAACTCGGGGCGCCCCGGGGGGACCAGGTGAAAGTGAGGGGCATGCACGCGGGAGGGACGGAAGAGGGGTGCACTACTATCCCCTCCCCCGCCCCCGGCGCTTCCAAGGCACAGCCCTTCGTCCACCCCGCCCCCCATCGCACCCCAGGCTCGGGACGGGGGGTATGGCTGTCGAAAAGGATCCGGAGGCGCCCTCGGATGGCCCGGTCCAGGACAGCGAGCCCGGCCACCGGGGCTGCGGGAATGGGTCACGAGGGCGCCCCCCGGGGGTCCCCCTGGGTCTTTGCACTTACCTTGCATTGCCAGGAAGACGCCCCTTAGCAGCATGGTCGCGCTTCGGGGAGGAAGGACGACCGGAAAGGGGTGCAAGCCGCCAGCCCGCTGGGACCCGCTGCTCCGGTGAACCGGCGCGGGGGCGCCGGGGACCCGGGGAGGGAGAAGTCGAGAGGCTCAGCGTGCGCTTGGAGCTGCCCAACTTTGCGGAGCGGCTCGGGAAGCCGAGCGGAAACTTGAGGGTGCTTGACTGGTGCACGCCGCTCGGTCAGCCGCGGGTCAGATCGCGTCCCGAGTGAAGCCGGCCTGGCGCACAGCTGGTCCCGGGCGAGGATTGGGGCTGGGCGGGAAGGAGACAATTGCACACTTTTGAAAAACCAGCTAGGACTGGCCGAGAGGGGAGAGGTGGGGATGCAGCGCCTCGGCTCAGGATTTTAAAGCTTGGGACCAGACCCCTTGCAGACACTTGGAGGGGGCAGGCCTTCGAGCAGCCCCTCCGATGGGCCGGGACTGGAGGCGCCCCGCCCCGCCCATCCGCGGTGGGAACCAGCTTATTTCTGGGGACAGCTTCCCCGCATCTGGCACACCAGTACAGCAGGGCTGGCCCTAATTTTAACTTTTTCTCCCCAGAATGGAAAAGGGTGGAATCCTCCTAGGAAAACCTAGAAGAGAACTTGGAAACTGTTTGGTGACATGAGCTTTATATCTCAGGAGTCGCACGTTCGTGACCCAGTAATGCTAAGCCTAGAATACCACCCCCATTTTTGTAGCAGTGGAATGTCTGGCATGCCTGGTGCTCAGCATTCCCTCTGTCCGGTAAAAGGGGGGCATTCCTCCTCTCCAAAGAGCCATGATAAATTAGTAGTTTTCTAAATTAGCATGTGGGGGGGGGTGATGCCAGGGAGGGGGTTACTGTGAGTGCTTTGAACACTAAGTGGGTCTCTAAAAATATTCTCTTCCAAGTAAGGACGTGGTCGGGATTTTTCTTCTTCTTCTTCTTCCTAATGGTCTTTACAATTTTGTGCAGGCAATTTTGTGCCTAGGGCAGTGGTTCTCAAATTTGAGGGTGCTTCAGAACCCCCTGGAGGGCCCCACCATCAGAGTTCCAGATCTGGTAGAAGTGGGTTGGGGCCCAGAAATTCTGCACATTCTTATCAGGTTTCCAGATGCTGATGCTGATGCTACTAGTCTGTGACCACACTTGGAGGAGCCCTGGCCTAGCGAACTCCTGTTCAACCATCAAAGCCCTGTTCACATGCCTTCACCTGGTTTCTAGCCTCTCTTGGCTTTCCTTGGCCTTCATTGGCAGCTCCTTCTCCATATCCTGTGCTGTTTTGTGTGTGTGTGTGTGTGTCTGACCCGTGAACACTGGAGTGCCTCCAAGCTCTGTCCTTTTAGCCACCCCCCCCTCCGAAATTTCATCCAGTTTCATAGTTTGGAACACCAACTATATAGCCTGATGACTCCCAAATTTATCTTTCTAGCCCAGACTGCTCACTGACTCCAGACTCTTCTCCCTCACGGCCACCTCAACATTTTCATGTGGATGTTTAACAGCTACCTCACACTTCACAGGTCCCAACATGAACACTTCTGAGTCCTTCTCGAGCCTGCCTCCTCTTACGTCTTTATCTCAGTTAAAGGAACCTTTCTCCCCCACTTGCTCAGGACAAAACACTTTGAGTTATCCTTGAGTCTTCTCTTTGTCTCAAGACATTACCAAATTCTGTCCATTCAGGATTCCAAACACAGCAGATGCTGAGCATGCTCCATGCCCACAGTGCCCTGATGTAAATGGCCATAGTTGGCCGGGGAGGCTGCCCGAGCCTCCTCGGGGCAGTGTCCCTGCCTCTCCTGCCTATACTCCATTCCTAACACAGCCGTCAGGGGCATCCTTTTAACACAGAAATCGGGCCATGTGGCCTGTCAGTCCTTGGCTCCAGACTTGCAACAGCTTCCCAAATCAGCAAATCAAAAGCCAATCTTCAGGGGCGCCTGGGTGGCTCAGTCAGTTAAGTGTCTGACTCTTGATTTTGGCTCAGGTCATGATCTGAGGGGGGTCATGAGATGGAGCCCCGCACTGGGCTCCATGCCGAGCATGGAGTCTGCTTAAGATTCTCTCTCCCCTCTGCCCCTACCCCCGGTCACATGTGTGCTCTCTCTCTCTCTCACAAACAAACAAACAACAACAAAAAAATCAATCTTCACAAAGACCTATTAGGTCCTACAAAACCTGCCCCACCCTCATCTCTCTGATCTCATCTGTCCTGCTTATACCCCTCATCTCTCTGATCTCATCCGTCCTGCTTACACCCCTCCAGCCACATTGACCTCTCGACTGGTCCTCAGATACAGGGTACCTGTTCTTCTAGAACTTTGCACTGGCTGTTCCCTCAGCTTGAAATGCTCTTCCCTGGAGATCCACATGACTCAACATCCACACTGTCTTCAGGTCTTTATTCCCTGGTCACCTTCAGTATTAGAAATTCAATAGCTTTCTCTCTAATAAGAAATAAGCCCGGGGATCCTTTTAAAATAAGTTTGGATGAATTTTCATGAGTTTTCTGTAAGCAATGACTCAAAGCACCTAAAATTTGTTTAGGGTGTGTGTGTTGTTTGTATGCTTTGCCTCAGGTGGTAGCTAATAATGAGTAACATTTATCATGCTTACTATTATAAATATTTTATGTAGAAAAATCTTATTTAACTTTCACAAGGGCTCTATGAGGTCAATGTCATTATTGCTCCCATTTACTAGATGGGGAGACTGAGGTACAGAGTTCAGTGATAGCAAGAGGCAGAGAAAAGACTTAAACTCATATCTGCATTATTCCAAAAGTCTATTCTCTCAACTGGTAAAGTAACCTGTCTCCTTTGTCTTATATTCTTTTTTGATTTCTTGCTCATAGATGATGCTAAAAAGCTGAGGTATTTCATCAAATTACTTAATTAAAAATTCAAAGACAGAGAGGAATCCACTTGAAACCTCAAAACACTCTTTTCAACCAAGCAAGCTTCCAGCAACTATCAAACTGGTGCTCCTTTTGCCAGGTAGGTACCTGCAGAGTATTTCAGAGTTTTAGGATTGCCTTAGATTCATTTGCATGTTCCAAGTCTTAGGAAAATGAAAAACTTCAAAGCCATAAAGAGATCTTCAAAAAATTTAAAATATGAATTAAAACCTCAAGGCAATATCATTTATTGCCACCTATGGGAACCTGAATCCTTACATATAAACACAAAGTTAGTAAAACTTTGATTTCACGTATAATTGCATGATCTGAAGAACAGATGATCCTTCGACATTGGTGCAGGTTGGGGTCTCCGGGAAGCAGACTCTGATTTGGAGGTTAGGATGCAGGCTGCTTACTAAGTGGTGCCCTTGGCCTCTGCACGTGTGGAAGGGAGGAGGAGGTAGGACTGGGCCAAGGGAGAAGTGACATTGCAATGGAGGCCCCACAAAGCTTCTCCTGACCCCAGAGGCTATACTGGAGTTAAAATGACCCACACAATTTATCCCATATTAGGCTGATATGGCCAGATTTTTTGTATTGTTCTTTCTATCACACAGGGGATGCGGTCCACACAAGGACAAATGATCCCCAACAGGGGGGCTCTCTACACTGAGGCCGACCCAAAGGGGTTGATAGCTGAAGGCTGTTTGAAGAAAACAATCCCACCACTTGAGATGCCAAGTCCTTCCTGGAAGGAGGATCTGGACAAGCACACTGGTGTCCACCACAGACATTTCTCAGAGAAGGGAAAGAATACTACACATGGAGAGAGCCAAGGAGGGAATGCAGAAAATCTAGAAATTATGTGCATCAACCCACTTCCTCAGGTCACTAATCATGGAGCCCTGTGGCCATGCACTGCCTTCAACCCCTGGGAAAGCAGCATCAGGCCCCCAGGGGAGCACTACCCAGGACTCTCTCCTCCAAGATTTAGCTTAATCGAGTGATTAAGTAATGCATGTAAAGTTCTGGTTTATAGAAAGCACTCAATAAACATCAGGTATTACAGCGGGTTGAATGGTAGCCCTCTCCAAAAGATATGCTGTGAATGTGACCTTATTTAGAAAAGGCGCCATGCAGACGTAATTAAATTAGGGATCTTGAGGAAAGATCATCCTGGATTATGAAATGGGCCCCAAATCAAGGGCAAGTGCCCTTCCAAGAGACAGAAGAGCAGTAAGGACACAGGTCAGGGTGGAGGCAGAGACAGGAGTGGGGGAGCCACCGGAAGCCAGAAGAGGCACAGAGCAGATCCTGTCCCAGAGGCCCAGGGGAGTGTGGCCCTGCAGACTGCTTGACTTCAGACTTCTGGCCTCCAGAGCCATGGGAGAAGAACTTCCCGTTGTTTTAAGTCCCCAGGTTTGTCCCGGCGGCTGCAGGACGCTGATGCAGAAAGTGTGAAGCATCGGGCAATCCCGTGCCAGGCACTTGCCACGTGTCTCTCATTCAATCCTGCCTGCCACATCCCGGTGAGATGGACACATGTCATCTCCATCTTACAGAGAAGGGGAAACAGGCCCAGAAGGGTCCAGTAACTTGTTCTGGGTCACATGTCCAGCGACACCGCCCCTGAAAGCTGCTTTACAAAGGCCTGTCTCTCCCAACACGGACCTCCGCGCACATGCACATCACTGATGTGGGCCCAACGCGGAGGCTCGTCCCTCGCACCTTCCCTTCCGTTTGCCTCTCTCCCTTCTCGTCCTTCTCACATACTGCCGTGTCAGGGTCACTTCAGCAAACACTTCCTGAGCACCTGCTGCGTGCCAAGCACAGTGCTCAGGGCTGGAGACCAGGGGGTGAACGGGACACATTCTCTGCCTCACAGACCGGAGACCATGGAAAGACCATTGCAATAAAATATGCTGGTGATGTAGACGAGAACTGCAAACCAAATCTCCACCGGCCAGGGAAGTAACAAATGAACTGAGCTGGTAGCCGGGGCGGTTTAGGGAAGGATGGTGGGGCGAGCAGGCCCAACCACAGGGCATCATCACTGGCACTGGCTTGAAGCCAAGTCGCTATGGCCAGACAGGGGTCCAGCCCTGCCTGTTTTGCTCAATTTTTCAAAAGAAGCCCAATGTCCAGATATGGATGCAATCGCTCCTGATTTTCAAATACTGGCAATGAATTAAGACAGAATATATTTCACTCCCTGCAGGGGTAGAGTAAAACTTGGTGGGAGGCTAAATTCAATTCTTGAGCTGCCATTTACAGAACCAAGAAAGACCCACGGAAACAGAGAATGGATGCCTCACCGCCACCCTTCCAGAGGGGGTGGCCAGACACAGATGACCAGTCCCGTTCTAGAGAAGAGAAAACAGATGCAGAAAGTGTCTGACTGACTTTTAACCAAGGTCACATGTCTCTAAGCAGTGGGGACAAGATGAGAAGTCATAAGCTCGCTTTCTCATTGGCCAGGGTTTGGCACACAGAAAGGACTTTGTATATTCTAAGTCCTGTACAAATGTAAGCCTATTCATAACATCCTTATAGTAATTATATATAGTAATTATACTTTGGTTTCTTTCTTTTACATACTATATGTTTTAAAATAATATATATAACTTTATATATGTATATATCTTTTTTCCTTTCTTGATTCCTGGGTCCCCTCTGATCTATGCCAAGACATTGTCTCTGCTCTGGAGTTTTGTCTGTCTCTGCCTCTCTCCATCTTTCTTTGTTTCTTTCTTTTCTTTCTTTCTTTCTTTCTTTCTTTCTTTCTTTCTTTCTTTCTTTCTTTCTTTCTTTCTTCTTTCTTTCTTCCTTTCTTCCTTTCTTCCTTTCTTCCTTTCTTCCTTCCTTCCTTCCTTCCTTCCTTCCTTCCTTCCTTCCTTCCTTTCTTTCTTTCTTTCTTTCTTTCTTTCTTTCTTTCTTTCTTTCCTTTCATCTGTCTCTCTCTCTCTCTCTCTGGGTCTCTGTGATACACTCTGGGGCTCCACTCTGCCTCTCACTCAGCATTTTCTCTGTCTGGCTTTCATGTTCTCTCTCTCTCTCTCTCCACATAGACCCCGACATGTCCCCAACTCACTGCAGGCTATCAGGTAAAAAATGAGCTGGTAAAATAGTTCCAGGCTCTAGGGGTTGTCCTGCCAGTGACCTTCATTGCATTCCTCCAGGAGGTGTCTGGGGGTTCTGCCCCAAGGCTGGCTGGCAGTGTCCCTTGGTTCCTGACCAGCACCAGCTGCCTTTTACCCCTTGGGGACAGTCACATGCCTGCTGCATGTCTGATTCATCCATCATGAGGGACCGAGGCCCAAGGTTAACCAGTTCTTAACAAAAGAATCTCCTGCTATTACAAAATATATGGCCTGCTCTTCAAATTGCCACACAGAAATGACCTGAACTGGTAAAGCAGATATTTCCTTTACAGTGGGCATTTAAGAGGGAACAGATACTTAAACAGATACTTTCTATCATTAATCTTTGTTCCATCAGTTTACTCTGAACCCTAGCTTGGAGTCAGACATCTTTCACTATGGTTTGATGGCAATCTTTTGAATTTCTTTTTAAGTCAAAATTCATGGGGCTGAGTCATCATAGTAAAAATACTACCACATTTTACTTAGTGTTTTTGATGTGCCAGGTGGTTTCATGGTCAATTTATGGGGGAAGAAACTAGGCCTAAAGAGTTTAAGTGACTTGCCCGAAGGTGTGGGGCCGGCTGTGAACCTAGCTCCAACTACCACCAAAGCCCTCTTGACCTGTCTACACTTCCATTGCAGGGAAGGTTTAGGCAAACACTGTGCAATGTCCTGTTCTCCAACCCCACACCTCCCTCCTCTAACCGTAGGGTGGGCCAAGGCCAGCAGGGCGAGTTTCTCTCTGTCCCAGTGAAGCATCTATACCCAGAAATTCTGCAGAAAAAGCCCTTTGTGTTCAGAGTCGAGCCTACCTTTCCATCCCGAGCCCATCATACCCAAATCACCCACTCTAGCACCATCAACATGCTGGCCCCTAACTGTGTCCCATGGGCCACTCGTCCTGTGTTCTCACCTGTTCTTCTCTCTGTTCAGCATCAGACTGCCTTCCTCCACTTCTCCCATTGGTAAGCTCCTTATAATGGGTTGAATCCTGCCCCCCAACCCCCAAGGTCATATATTGAAGTCTTATTCCTGAGTACCCCAGAATGTGACTTTATTTGGAAATAGGGTCACTGCAATTACAATTAGTTAAGATGAGGTCACTGGAGTAGAGTGAGCCCTAGCCCAATACGACTGGTGTCCTTATAAAAAGGTGACATTTAGACACAAATATACACAAGGAGAGCACCCTTGAAGATGGAGGCAGAGGTCCCGGGGATGGCTCTGAAAGATCACCAGCAAACCCATGGAAGCTGGAGAGGCCAGGAGCTGCTTCTCCCTCACAGCTCTCAGAGGGAACCCCATCCTCCACCCCCGCTGACATTTTTGGATTTCTGGCCTCTAGCACTGAAGTTTCTATTGTTAAAGTTACCCAGCAGGTTGTACTTCGTATGCAGGCCTAGGAAACTAATGTACTCTGTTTTGTGCGGATCTCACCTAGGATAGTAATGCCACCAGCTAGAAATACCCGGAGGCACTCACCTTGGCCCCAGTGAGCTTCCCACAGACCTCTCTTCTTTCCAAACCACTGCTACAACTGGACTGACCCTTGTAGTTCTTATTATGATTGCAAGATGCCTTTCAACAACAACTACCAGCAAACTTCGGAAATAAAATAAAGGTTTATTACTTACAAGACCTGGAAATTACACAGCACACCTGGGGCCCCTGCGTGGTGCGGAGGTAGAGAGACATGGTGCCCAAGGGCCTGGGTTCTGCTTTTATTGGGGTTGGGTGGGGACCTAGGGTTTCGTGGGCTCACTACTGGTGAATTTAAAACATACGGGCAGGGACTGAAAGCAAGGGAGAAGACACAAGTGGCCCAAATGGCCAGTTACCGAAATCAATGAAGATCTTTAAAACAAAGGAGACTCAGTGAGGAAAGGTGGCCTTGCTCTTTACCTAGACCCTGTGGCTGGCATTGTGTTTATTCAAGATAGCTATTCAAGGCAGTGAGTCCAGTCTTTGAAGTCGGTGCCCTCAGCAATCAAAGCTTAAGTCAGGCATTTGCTACAAAAGGAAAAAAAAACAGTCGTGGACACTGTCCGCTCCCATTCATTTCTAAAGACTCCGCTCAAGTGTCCTCTCTTCCTCTCTCTGGGCTTCCTGTCCTCCTAAACTGCAATGTTTATTATCAGGCTGTATCACAATGACTTCGTTTATGTCTCTGTTATCTGCAAGGGACGCTGATACGTCAAGGGCTGAGAAGTCGGCTTTATACTCGTTTCTGCTCCCGTGTCATCTGTGGGCCTGGCTAATTGTAGGCGCTCAATAAATGCTGAAGGAGAGGCTCTGGAAGGCACATCCTCACAGGTATACATGGCCCGGAGGCCCGCCCAGGCTGCAGCCCTATCGTTAGAAGGAAATAACTAAATCTAAGCTCTAGGTCATGCAGGAGGGTATTTATGGAAAAAAATGAACTGCACAGATGTGCTCTGAGAGCCAAGAGCCATTGCAAAGAGGAGTAAGAGCCCGAACAGGGAGTAGAGTAGGCTTTTTGGGATCAGACCAGCACATCTGGCAAACTCCGGGGAGGGAAAGAAGGTGAGGGAGGCTCTCAGAAGCCCACTTTCATGAGGGGCAGAGGGGGCTGCAGGG